GGCAGGAGGAGCTGATGGAGGGGCAGCCAGAGGCCCCAGGCAGGCAGGCAGGCAGGGAGTCCTGGCCAGCTGCCGACAGGAGGAGAGACCGAGGCAGAGGAGACCTGGCGCAGGTCCCAGAGGGCAGGTCGCTGTGGGCAGGCACGGCCAATGGTGCCTACAGGTCATCTGGTAAACCTGCACAGACAGTCCTGTGAGACAAGCTTTGTGAAGTCGCTTTACATGTGAGGAAGCGGAGCCCGGAGCCCAGAGTATCCGTATCCACATCATGGAAGTAGGAAACGGCATGGTCAGCCTTAAACCCAAGGCTCTGGGCGCCAAAGCCGAGGCTCTCTCTACACCCCTAGAGGGGGACGAGGGGCTGTGGACGGCTAAGTGGGGCCAGGATGAGCTCCTCAGGCTGGGTGTCCTCAGAGCATCTCCTCAGTGAGTCCGGACAGTATCTGGGTGAGGGGTCAGGCTGTGCCCGCTGTCCCCAGGGAGGGTGAGTCCCAGCCCCCTGCTGAGGACAGTAGCATCTGCACAAAAAGGGCTCCCAGGAGGCCCACCCAGACCTAGGGATGATGTGCTGGTCAGGAGCCCACAGCCACCGGAGGTGGGTCCTGTTAGCCCATCTTACAGGTGGGGAACCAGCTCAGAGTTTCAGCAACTCACCCAAAGCCAACCCAGTTCAGAACTATTGGGCCGATCAGAACCTGGGTTGGCCGGGGTCCAGGGCCTGTTCTTGAACCTCCTGCCCTTCCCGGCTTTCCCAGGGGGGCAGCCACTCCCCTGAGCACTCGGGGTCACCTGCGCTCATCCGGCAGAGGTGGCACCTTACGAGTCCTGCTGGTGTGGCACCGTCTCCATCTCTCACCTGCAAGGTGACTCCGGGGGACGAGACCGAGGGCCGTCCTTGCAGTCTGGGCAGCACCCAGCCAGAGCCTGGCATACTGGCAGCGCTGCACAGGGTCTGACGGGTGAAGGAGTGAACACACGAACGAGCGAAAGAAAGAGGCAGCGATGAGACTGGGCCCTGAAGCCAGTGGCAGTGTCGGACGTCTGCCTGGGTGAGGGCGTCTGGTCACCTGAGGCTGCCGGACATCAGAACAGGCGCACCCACAGATGAATGGATGCGGCGGCTCCACGGTCCTGGTCGTAAATCACAGGAGAAGCCGCGGGAATGAGTGCCAGGCTTCTCTTTCTGTTTAGTAATTTATCAAGGGAAGAGGCGCATTAATAAACATATTTCCCTTGAGGGGTGGGGATAACGGAGATGAATATCCGTGTCAGATTTGGCCTGTTTCCTCTTGTTAAGGGTGCAAGAGAGGGTGGGAATCCAAATATTAGCAAAATCTTTCTGTAAAACTGTATCAAAAAGATGCATGTGTTTCTGACTTTACATGATGTTCAGCCTCCCCCCACCCCCCCTTGCCACGCAGCTCGTAAGTAAGTGACAGGAGTCTTTCGAAAGATTCTCTTTTGCATGTTACTTTGGGTTCCGTTTAGGGTGACACGTGTGAACTCAGTAAGTAAGAACTAAGAGGCTTAGAGGATGCCCGAACGGACTGGTGAGTTCAGCGATGCGGGTGCTGCTCTGAGCCCGATCATCTCTTCTGGACTTGCTGCCCTGTACCCCAGTGTTGGCGCTGGGCCCCCCCTGCCGATCCACCCTCACGCCCAGACCCACTGTGGAAGCTCTAGAGGCTGGGTTTCAGGCACTATCCTCCACACTCTCCGCATGCCCCCACTGCACAGAAGGGCAAAGCGAGGCTCGAGGAGGCTAGGTAACATGCTTCCACGTAGCCACTAAGCATCAGGTCTGTGTGACCACCGACGCCAGCCTTGGGCCCCCACATGTGTGTGTGTCCCCCTCACGCTGCCAGGAGCACCCTCCCAAGGTTCCTGTCCTCCCCACCCTAAGCAGAAGCAGTGAGGTGGGTGGTTTGGGTGGCCATCTGCCTGCCTTCCAACTGGTTTCTCTGCTGAGGCTGTCTGGCCTTGGGTGAGCTACTTGTGTTGTCATTTGTACAATGAGGCTAAAAGCCCCTTCCTCATAGGGCACTTATGAAGATTAAACTACTTAATACTTCAACATGCTTAGAACAGTACCTAGCACCTGTGAGGCCTTCAGTAAGCCCCACATGAAAGGAAAGTGTGAACAGGAACAACCGTGTATATAGGGTTTGCTACTCCGCAGCGTCAGGTATCCACTGGGGCTGTCACAGTGTATCTCCCTAGAGTCGGGGGAGACTACTGTTCATTCATAACTGCAGGAAGGGGGGAGCTCCCTGCACCCTAGGGCCCTCCAGCCGTGACTCCAGACCGCTCCTCCTACAGCCCCCACCTGTCAGGGCTCTGGGTCTCCTCTGGACAAAACAGTGGCCTAGAAATGGTCTGACAACATCACTGGACCTGTCTGCACACGCCAAGGTTTCCGCCTGTGCAGACCCTCCCTGAGCCCTTTCGTCTTTGTACAGGGGTCTCTGCTAGCGTGGATGCCCAGGGCGTCAGTGAGGAGGAATCGGAGGTGTGGGCGCCTGGCACTCAGCAGGGCATGCTAATTCTCTGCCAGCCTTGCCCCGCAGTTCTCATACCCTGTGCCCGAGGGCCCCTGCCCACCCCTCCTCCCTTCAGGGGCCTCCATGTGCCCTTCGGGCTGGGGGTGGCCTGTGAACAGCCCTAGCAGCTGCTTGAACACACCCTGTGCCTCGCAGGGCCTGGCCCAGCCACCTCCACGCCTGTGCTCACGGTGCCGGCCGGCGCTCTCTTGTGTGCGCTTCTCTCCTTCCTGCCTGCTCAGACCAGCGCAGCCCCACAGGACGCCTCCTCCAGGGACACGGCAGGCTGCCCTGGCCACAGGGTCGCCCAGTAGAATTTCTACAGCAATTTAAAAAAGCCAGTTACACACACACACCATAGAGAAATCTCGCAAACCAGAATGTTGAATAAAGAAGCTGGATCAGCCCTGGTTGGCTCAGTGGTTAGAGCGTCGGCCTGCGGTCCGGAGAGACCCGGGTTCGGTTTCCGCTAAGGGCATGTACCTCGGTTGCAGTTTGTCCCCGGCCCTGGTTGGGTTGTGCAGGTGGCAGCCACTCGATGTGTCCCTTTCACGTCGATGTTTCTCTCTATCTTCCTCTCTCTCCCTCCTACTCTATCTGAACAAAAACTGGAAAAATATCCAGATGTCCTCGGGTGAGGATAAAAAAAAAAAAGCTGGATCAAAACGTATTTGTAATTTCACTTACATGAGTAAACAAATGCTCAAAAATAGGCTGACAAGACTAGTTAGAAGCCAGGATAGTGGCTGCCCTTGGGGTGGGTCTGGAGGAAGAGGGGTGGGTGTCTGTTTGTTCTTGCTGTACATTACAACCACCAGGGGGAGGGGCGGGGCTGGAGGACTTAACAAAATACTATTGCCACTTTGGCCAGGTGGCCTGGTTGGTTGGTTGGAGCATCATCCTGGGTATCAAAAGGTTGCAGGTTTGATTCCCAGTCAGGGCTCATACCTAGGTTGCGGGTTCAATCCCCAATTGGGGTGCATATTGGAGGCAACTGATTGATGTTTCTCTCATATCGATGTCTCTCTCTCTTTCTTTCTCTCTCTCTCTCTCTCTCCCTCTCTCTCTCTGCCCCTTTCGCTCTCTACAATAAATATTTATATTCTTGGTGAGGAGATATATATATATATATATATATATATATATACCATTGCCTTTTTATTTCCTCCCAAACAAACCCAGGCAATTCTGAAGCGCAGGATGGGTTGAGAAGGACCATGGTATGAGGAAAGGGCCAGTGGCACGCCTCCTTACACACTCACGTGCCCCGCAGGGGTTTCATCGTCTGTTGGTAAATCCCCAGGAGTCAAGCGTCCCATACTTCCCAGACCACATGGACCTTTCCATCTGAACAGGTGGTTCTTCTCCTGCTCACCTTGACTCCTCTGGTCCGTTGCTGCTCCCTGGGGCTCCATTGTAGTTTCTGCAGATGTGTTTATAGAGGTCACTTCCACTCTGTGTCTCCGTCGAGATGATGCCCGGAAGGCTTGGTGTGTGGAGATGCACCGCACCTGAAGCTGGGTGGTGCTGCGTCCCAAGTGACACAGCGCTGTTCCTATGGGGCAGACCCACCCCCGTTCCCTCCAGCCCACTTCTCCTTCGATCCTAGCAAGGATGCAAGGAATTGTTCCAATTCAGTGAAACAGGACTGGAAGCTCATGAGTCCCTGGGGATGCCTAGTTTGGGAGGAGGGTCTGACTCTGGCACCCTCTGGAGCGCAAGCCTGGAGAGAAGAACAGTCCACTCCTGGCCATTCTGAGAGCGCAGACTTGATTGTCTGACGGGCCGTCAGCATCTGTAACACACAAAACCTGTGCCAGCCTGCTGAACCCCGCGGCCTCTGCCGCCTCCTGCCCTCGGGCCCTGTTTCTTTTATTTTAACCCTCACCGAAGGACATGCTTAGAGAGACAAACACTGATCAGTTGCCTTCCACACGGGCCCCGACCTGGGATTAAACCCACAACCCAGGAAAGTGCCCCGACCAGGAATTGAACCGACACCCTTTTGGCGCACAGGATGACCATCAAGTAACTGAGCCGGCCCAGCGGGGCCAGGCCCTGTCTCCTGACCTGGTGCTGGCCTCCTGGTGGGGTCACTTCCATGTGCACTTGGCTTCGTGCCCAGGCCCTGCTGGGTCCAGCTCCAGGCCCTGCACAGCCAACAGGAAGGGTGCTGCTATGCATTCAGTGCTCGTATTCACTCACTCAAGCACCTGACCTGCGCTTCTGTGCTGCTCAAGTGCTCACCACGCCTGGTGTGGATCAGTCCATTCCATAGATGAGCAAACTGAGGCTGGGAAAGGCTACAGCCCTGGCCCAAGAGGCGGTCCTGAAGAATGGCAGAGCTGCCGCCCCCTGTGGATCATCACAGGCTCTTCCTGCCCCCCACCTGCCAGCCCGCCTTCCCCCGTCCCACCCCCAGACGTTTTGCTGACGTGCCTTGGGTTGACTGTCCCACAGTGTCGCGTTTCTCCAGCCCACGGGTGACGCCCCGCTTGAGCCGCAAGCGTGCGCTGTCTATCTCGCCGCTGTCGGACGCCAGCCTCGACCTGCAGCGGATGATCCGGACCTCCCCCAACTCTCTGGTGGCCTACATCAACAACTCCCGCAGCAGCTCGGCGGCCAGCGGCTCCTACGGGCACCTGTCGGCGGGCACCCTCAGGTGAGCCCAGCCTGCAAGCAGAGGGCCCCGAGTTGGGGGCTGGACTGGGGGCCGAGTAGGGAGGGCCACCCCTCAACCCGAGAAGAAAGCCAGGACTTCATGCCCCAAACACAGTTTCTGATGTGGAATGTAAGACGGGCCCGTCATGAAAGGTTTGATCAGAAATCAAAAGTGTCTTACCTAGTGTTTCAGCGAGTGCTGGAGTAGCTGGACCACTGGCCAGCATGGGGGGCGGGGCCTGAGGACACTGGCTGGGGCCCTGCGAGTCTCCGGCTGTCGCCCGGTCACCGCACGGCACACCCAAACCTCGCCAGTGCCTTTGGCCCCTGCCCCTCTGTGTAGCCCTGGGCTGTTCTAAGGACCCAAACCCAAAACCCCTGCTGGACAAACCCATGTGCTTCCCCTGGGCGCCCCGAGGCCAGAGGTGTTGGGAATGTCGGGAGAGCTTGGCCCAAGGCAGAAATAGGAGTCGTAACTAGTCTATTGGTTATCTTTTGCTGCATAAAAGGTCACTTCTAAACTGAGTGGTTTAAAACCACAAGTGTGCGTCATCTCTGAGGGTCAGGAGTGTGAGACGTTGGGTCTCCCACGAAGCTGCCATCAAGCTGTCACCATGGCTGTGGCCGCCTGAGGATGACGGGGCTCCAGGTGCAGGGCGACCGCACCATGGCTGTCGGCGGGAGCCGCTGGCCACGTGGCGGCCGGTGCCCCTGCCCCACCGCCGCAGCGCGACCTGAGAGCGGGCGGAGCCACAGCACCCTCGGGGCTCAGCCTCAGGCACCTTCTCTCTTCAGGGCCCCTCCTGGAAAGTGGGCTCCTGGCTCCGTGCGGTGGCAGGACAAGGGGTCATGGGGGCTGGAGGCTCAGGGCACACTCCCTGGTTGGGGGGCATGAGAAGGGGCTTCAGAGGCCAAACGGGCTAAACAGAGAGCAAGCAGTGCGTCTCAGGTGTCAGCGGGGAAGGGCCCGGTGTGGGCGAGACAGTCCGGCCCCTCCTGGGCAGGGCCTGGGCTGAGCAGAAGCTGAGGCCTGAGATGGCGGCAGGGGGAGCCACTGCTAGTCCGTGAGCGAGGCAAAGGCTTGGTGATGTTGAGGCTAGCACACGCCCACCCCGTCCCTGGGCAAAGTCTCTGCCCGGCAGTGCCAGGGCCCCCCCCCCCACCGCTGCGCCATCGCCTTGTCTGTTCTCTGCAGCCCAGCCTTCGCCTTCCCGCACCCCATCAACCCCGTGGCCTACCAGCAGATCTTGAGCCAGCAGAGGGGCCTGGGCTCGGCCTTTGGACACACACCACCCCTGATCCAGCCCTCGCCCACCTTCCTGGCCCAGCAGCCCCTGGCCCTCACCGCCATCAACACCACGCCCACCCAGCTCAGCAGCAGCAGCAACTGTCTGAGCGACAGCAGCCAGGTAGGTGGGTGCAGGGAGCAGGGGGTGGGCCACCAGGTACCCTCCTGGACTCCACAGGGGCTGACGATTGCCATCTCACCCTGGGAACGCGGTGAAGGACTCCGGGTGCAGGCCTGGCTGGTGGGGTGTCTTCTGTGCACAGGCCATGTGATTGGAAGGGCCTTCGGCTGGATGCCAGGTTGGCTAGGACACCTGGGCTGGGCCCTGCCCCTGCCCCTGCCCCTGCCCCACTCACGTGGACAGCGTCTAGCCTCGGTTCCGCCGTCACCTGCCCAATAAACCAGAAAGCGGGTGCAGAAATCCTACAATCCAGCCTGCACCACGCAGGTGCTCCATGCTCAGCGTGTGAAATGGATGAATTAATGGAAAACAATTCATGTCGCACAGTTTAGTTTTAGAGCATGGATTTACCAAGGCCATCTTTTTAAATTACCGTTTACATTCAATATTATTTTGAATTAGTTTCAGGTGCACGGCATAGTGGTTAGATAATCATACGCACTGCAAAGTGGTCCCCCCAGTATTTCCAGCACCCCCTTGGCACCATAGTTACTACAGTATTATTGACTGTATTCCCTAAGCTGTACTTGACATCCCCATGACTGTTCTGTGACTACCGATCTGTACTTCTCAGTGTCTTCGCCTTTCCACCCAGTCCCCGACCCCTCCTCTCTGGCAACCACCACTCTGTTCTGTGTGTCTGTGAGTCTGTCTCAGTTTTGTTTCTTTTGTTCACCAAAGGCCGCCTTATTTGACCTTTCCAGTGGGCCTTTGGCATGCTGGGCATGCTCACAGCGTGCCCAGCACACAGTAGGTGCCGTTAGCATTTGGTGAATGCGTGAGTCCTATTTTGCAGATAAGGGAATGGAGCCGTAGAGACAGTATCGGGTAATGGAAGGGCCCGGCTTTGGAATCCACTAGACCGTGTTTGGACCCTGACTCCTGAGACCTTTAGCAGCCTCAGCGTACACATCCGCAGAGTGGGGCCTGCCGCCTGCTCTGGGTGGTTGTGCATGTACACAAGCCCGTGCGTGCACAGAGCCCCATGTGGGCCCAGGTCCTGGTTAGCACTTACAATGACAATTCTTGAGGGGAAGTGACTGGCCAGGCCACCCACCCAGCAGAGCCTAGATGTGCCCAAGTGCTGGGAGGAAGGCCACTGCAGCATTCTGGGTCCCCTCTCTTTGGCTGTCTCCCTCTCTACCCCAGGGCTCCAAGCGGCCACCAAGGAAGGGGTCCCTCGGGCGGTAGCTGTCGGTTTGTCACACCCCCGATGCCGCAGCTCTGGCTGCCTTGTCAGGAGGGACCAGCCTTCCTCTCCTGCTCCCTGGGCTGGCCAGGCCTGTTCTCAGGCCCAGAGCTGCTGCTCCGGAGGGCGGAGAGGCCGAAGCTGTCAGGTCAGGAGTGACAGTGCAGCAGTGCCCATAGAGGGTCTCTGTCCCGTTTCTGTGGACGGTGGTGGGGAAGGTTCTGGCAGGCTGAACTCTGGGCTCTGACCTGGCCACGCCCCTGCCGGAGGACGGTGTTGGGAGGATCCTGCTTCTCAAACTTCAAACACCAGGGTCGGCCCAGACACTGTGTGGGCAGGCTCCCAGAGGTGGGAGGTGTCCCCGCCCTGCCCCAAGTGACAGGCCCTCCTGTGCCCCTCAGAACAAGCAGAGCAGCGAGTCGGCTGTGAGCAGCACCGTCAACCCCATCGTCATCCATAAGCGCAGCAAAGTCAAGACGGAGGCCGAGGGCCTGCGACCAGCCTCCCCGCTGACCCTGACGCAGGTAACCTGCTGGCATCCTCTCTGCTGGGTCGGCTGCCGGGGGCTGAGACCTTGGTGAATGGAGGAACAGATGGATGCCTGCATGAACCAATGAGCAGATGAGTGAACCCGGGAGGGCGGGACGGACGCATCTTGAGCTCAGGGAGGACCAGAGCTGTCTCCAGCACCGTGCACATTACATGCTGATCCAACACGTGCTGAGTGGCCTGGCCGGGTGGCTCAGCTGGTTGAGCGTTGTCCTGTGCACCAAAAGGTTGCCAGTTCGACTCCTGGTTGGGGCATGGACAGGAGGCAACCGAGGATGTTTCCCTCTCACATCGCTGTTTCTCTCTCCCCTTCCTCTCGCTAAGCATACCCTAGGAATGAGTGAGTGTATGTCCGGGGCTGCAGCTGCCCCTCCCGCCACCACACCTCATCCTCATGCAGCACACTCTCTTCCCCTGAATGGCTAAGGGTCCTGTCCAGTTGTTCCTCTCCCTGGAACGTGTCCCCCAACCTGTCCCCTCCGTTGCCACTTCAGCCTTTCCTGACCCTCCAGCCTTCCCTGCAACAGGACTTGCAGATGCCCAGATGCCCGTTCCAGCCCCTGGACCACCTTGTCTGCCTCCTGCACTGTGCTAGGAGCCTTGGAGAGGTGGTACTTGAGAGAAGTGTCTGGTTTGGCTCCATGTCACCAGGGTTCACACTGGGCCTGGCACATAGAAACTGTGAGGTTGTCTTTTCTAAGGATCAGAGCACAGTTGTGGGGATGAGTGGTGTGGTGAGGGGGGAGGAAGGGAAGGAAGGTGATTCTTTGTAGGCAGGTGAGGAGCGGAGCCGCCCACAGCCGGGGATGGCCCTGTTGTGGGCTGAGACCTGTGCAGGCCCCTGGGAAGACCCTGCCACTTACTCCAGTCCTCCAAGATCACAGGCGGACAGTCCCAGCTCTTGGAGCAGAGGCCTGTCGTGAAGAGGGCTCTGCGTGCGTGCTGACCTGGCAGACAAGCCTCCCGCCCCCCAGGTCTCTCACGGTGGCCTGGTCTCCATCCGTTACTGCGCTGTCATCAGCTCTGACACCAGTGATGCTCAGGGCCTCCTGTCCCTGTGTCCCTGCATCTGTCACACCATCCTTTATCAGACCTGTAAGCCATCGGGCATGCTCTGGGCACTTAATTTTTATGAAATATTGGGTTCTCTTATTGTCAGGCAAACACAGGGGCTGGTGACAAATTCTTCTCCCCTCGCTGACGCCAAAGCCTCAGCATGATGCGTGGTTTCCACGGGGCCGGCCATCGTCAGGGGTTGTGGAAATTAATGGGGATGGCACACATCCTGGGGAGATAAACACGAGGAGCAGGGAGGACGGGGTGGAGGCCGAGCTCAGGGAGCCCCTGCCCCACCCCCTCCAGCCCAGGGTCCCACAGAGCCCTCTTTCCTGCCCAGCTGGGCTCCTCGTTTGTGTCAGAGGAAGGAAAGCCATTTATCACACGGGGTTGTCCCCATGGCACTCAGTGTCCTGATTCAGTGACCGGACTCGAGAGGTCAGTGGACATGCTTCCCCTTGGCAGGGAATGCGGCACAGTGACCCCTGCCTGAGCCCTGACCACGTGGGCCAGGAAGACGCCAGCGGCTGGAGGCCCGAGCACACCCGCTGCCCGCGCGCCCGCCACACGTGTGCCAGCCTGCAGCTTCTTCAGGTCCTCTTTGAATCGGCAGGGCATGCAGCTTGTGAAAATAAACCGTCCTTGTCCCGTTTTCCTGAGAGTACAGAGTCGGCACAAGAGGCCCCTGGCCCCAACCTCCATTTCTGAGCAGCCGGGCAGGGGCGGTTCTGCACCGGCCGTAGAGCGAGGCCCAGAGCTGCCCGGGGAGTTCCTGGGCAGCATGTCCTGGTCTCCCTCTTCAGAACCTGTGCGCTCACTGAAAGGTGCGCTCAGAACCCCCAGGCCCCTCCTGCAGAACCCCCACAGCTCCAGCCCCACGGAGGGCGGTCGGCCAGCTGCGGGGAGTCCTGAGGCTGACCTCCACTCGTCCACCCCTCCAAACAGATCGGTGTCCTGAGTGAGGCCGGCCGGGATCTGCGGCCTCCGCTTTACCGAGTGTCTGCAGCCTGTGGGGGCTCTTGACTGTGGGGAGAGGGTCTCCCCCTTAGCCTGAGCTATAAATGTTTGCCCTGGAGGCTGTTTGCAAAGACAGAACATTTCTGCCATTTGTAGGTAATCCGAAATGTAGAGAAGTCATTCTGACATCTGCCTCTTTGCCTGGCTTTGCTCCGACTCTGCCCCGCAGGCCAGTGGAATGTTGGAAGGTTCGAGACCCTCTGGAGGTCCTCGCTGGGCTTCCTCCCACCCTGGGGCGTCTGTGCCTCTCCCTCCTGCCACTCCTGTGCCCTCCCAGCCTGTCCCCATGTCTCCTGCTTGGAGGCTGCCCCTGGCCAGCTCTGTGTCAGCAGTAGCTGGGGTGAGGTGGCCTTGATTTAGACTCAGTCTTGCTGGTTTGGGAGTAAAAAGGTTCGTCCTGTTTGAATTCAGGCACCGTGATGGGGTGAAGGCCTGTCACAGGGGCCTTTCCTTCGCTACCTTGAAGTGGGCACATGTGGTCTGTACTGTGCAGGGGAGACTGAAGTCCAGACCTAGGCCCCCCAAACTCACTGTGTCCTGGGGAGGCCGGGTCAGCCCCTCCCCGAACCCGCCGTTCTAGCTGTAGTACAGAATACAGCGCCCCCAGTAGGGCTGTTACACAAAGGCAGCTTCCAGGCAGATATGCCAAGCTCATTCCCCCAGCGGAGCGCTGTCCTGGGTGGGAACAGGCGTGTGCTGTGCCCTGGGAGAGGGGACAGTGCCAGAGCATGGGGTCTGGAGGGCCAGGCCAGGTGTCTGTTGGGTTTCTCTTGCCTCTGTAGAGAAGCTGACCCTATGACTAAAACGCCCCACACCTGAGCCTTTGGGGCCCACCATAGCTCCCCCCAGGGGAAACCAAGCCAAATAGCAAAAGTCGCTGCCTGCTCTCGCCTGACCCCTCGCCGTGTCAGTGGATACAGGATGTGACGAGATACCTTGGTGATGACACGCTGTCATTAGAGAAGGAGGAGGGCCCAGGATGGCTGTGTGACCGGAGAGTGATGGGTCAGAGGCACTGAGGGAGGGGCAGACAGCTGAGGAGTGTGCGTGCGTGTGCATGTGCTTGTGCGTGTGCCTGTGAGTGTCTACACCGGTACTGCCCAGGTCCTTGGCCCAGACTGCCCGGGCTAGCAGCAGCCTTTGCTCAGGGCGGGGTGCTGGACAGGGCTCACAGGCTTGCTCTGCCCCTCCCCAGGAGCAGCTGGCTGACCTCAAGGAGGACCTGGACAGGGACGACTGCAAGCAGGAGGCGGAGGTGGTCATCTACGAGACCAACTGCCACTGGGAAGACTGCAGCAAGGAGTACGACACCCAGGAGCAGCTGGTGCATGTAAGCCTCTGACCCCCGCAGCCTGCCCGGCGGGGGCGGGGCCGGGCCCGGGAGCGCCAGCCCTCCAGGCCTCCGGGGGGAGGAGCTGGAGGAGGAGGCTCCAGAGGGGCCTGGGCCATATCCTCTGCAGGTGGGAAGCATGACCACGTACCTATGCCCTGCCTGTTTCTAAAAGGGAGCTTACAAATACACACACGTAGTACAAGGGGTTAGAAAGAGATAAGAAAATGAGGGGGAAATAAACAATAAAGTGAAGTCAGGAGTCAAGTTAGTATGCAAAACCAAGTCCTTTGAGATATAGTTCACATATAAATCTTTTCTCTGAGGTTCCCACAACCAAAGCAGGGAGAGAATAAGATTAGTTCAACTAGCCAGCACCCACAAGACTCTCAAAGCTGAGGAGCGTCTCCCCTGGAGGAAGGCATGGGTAGTTTCCTCCTGGAGACCCCACACAGGTGCTGGTGTTTCCACCCAGGTCCGAGAGGGAGCTGCTTAAAAACGCCCGGGGCCTGACAGAGCAGGAGGCCAGAAGGGCCCAGGAGCTGGGAGTGCCCGCCAGGGTTGCCCTCGCCTCAACCCCACTGCGAACTCTGCAATGGTGCCGGTCCCAGTGGCTGCGAGGGGCAGTCTGTGCGGCGGGCGGCCCCAGGATCAGACCGGCCGAGTTCTGAACCCGGGACTCAGCCTCCATGGGCCTTAGTGTTTCCTCCTGTGTAGGGGTGGCTCCTCCTCCACAGGGGCGGTGGGATTGACCCATGTAAGGCTCAGAGGAGACCCGCACCTGGGAGCCCTCTGCGCCTCCTGCCTCAGGCCAGCCCTGGGCATTTCCTCTCGTGCAGAAAAGCGCTCAAATTCCACAAGCCCCCCACACACCTGCCCCAGCACAGGCTCCCTGGTGAGTGTCTGCAGGGTGCACCCACACGAAACCAGCAGCCCAGGAGCCTTCCCTGAGTGTCCTTCTCCCCAGCGCTGTGACCTCAGCATTTTAACACCGCCCACTCCTCTGCTGCCTCCATCGCACGACGGCTGCTCTCCAATAGTGAAGGTTTCCCTTGTGTTTGGGTTTTCCTTCCCCAATTCTCAGCCAGTAGACAAATTTCCCAGCAAGCAGAGTCTTATCGAATCCCTCTGTGGGTCAACGAGGCCAAGATGGAGAAGGGGCATTGGAGTTACTGGACAGGTCGATCGGAGGGCGGGGAGAGGCCGGCAGAGGTGGAGCCAGCACTGAGGAGATGCACTCGGCAACCCGCGGGAATTCCTCGAACGAATGAGGGCAGAGGGTCCCATGGGAAGGAGGGCTTCAGCTGCAGGCTCCTACCTGTGGGGACTGTCCCTGCAGCTGCAGGTGCCGCCTCCACCTGGCCCTGGAGAGAGCGGGCCCTGGGAGAGGGAGCCCGCGCCGCTGCTCAGCTCTGTCTGCTTCCCAGGAAGATGGATGGCGGCAGCACACGGGCGAACTGGGCCCCCAGTCGATTATTAACAATTTGTTGCTAAGTAAATCAATAAGAAAAAATGAAAGGCATTGTCAGGACGCATCTCTGTCATTTGAAAGTCTTTAAAGATGGAGAGTGGGACTAACGTGATGAGGTTTCCCTGGAAGCGCAGAGTGCGGCAGATTTTACAGGCAGCGACGCTGGCGCCCGGTGCACGGCGCGGGGCCTGGCGCGGGACAGGGACCTCCGCGTTCAGGGCGGGGCGCTGCCAGGGCCTCAGGTCCAGCTCTGGGACGGCCTCCTAGGTTGCTGAGACCGACAGCAGCACTGTCCTGTGCACACTGCGGGCCACAGACACCGGCCACGGGCCAGCTTACATGTAGGCGCACATGGGAGAAAGAGTGAAAGGAACCGGGAAATTAATGCTAATGATATATTGTGTGTAACCCACTGTATCTAAAATGTTACCATTTCAACATGGAGGCGATGTGAGACAAAAGTACTGAAACCTTTCACTTCCCTGGCTTTTCGTTCTCCGCGTAGGAGGCAGGTGTGTTGCCACTCGCAGTCCATCCCAGGTGGGAGCAGCCACGTTTCAGGGCTCGGCGCGCACGTGGCGAGTGGTCGCTGCCCTGGGCACTGTGGGTCTGAGGGTGAGGGAGGGTTGGGGGCGAACGCAGAGAGGGAGCTGAGAACAGAGGAAAGGGGCAGGGGCCTCCAAGCCCTGACCTTCCACCTCCCCACCTCCCCGTGGGGCCACAGGCCCAGCCTGACCCCGTGCAGGCAGGACACGCCCTGGGCCCAAGAGGGAGATGGCAGGGGAAGGATGGGCCTGGCTGAGAGCCGAGAAGGCTGGTGGGCTTTGGAGGAAGCCGCAGGGGGAGGGGAGCAGGAGAACCAGGGTCCCCTTTCACTGCTGTGTGAGTGACTGATGCCACCTGTTCCCCCCAGATAGACAAGCAGCCCAATAGGTTAGGGACATAAAAGTCCTGGAGGCCCCACACGTATCAACACGCCCCAAGCTCAGAGGCAGTAATACCCCTGCTTCCGAGAGGACGGCAGCCTGCACTTCAGTGACCACAGCCAGTGACTGACGTCCGCGGCTGTTCCCAGGCTGCTTGCTCTGCTGCTCTGCACGCTGACACAGCCGTGGCCCTGCGCTCCGCGTCACAGGAGAGAGTGCTCCGGGAGCCCTGCAGGTGCAGAGGCCCTGCGCTCCGCGTCACAGGAGAGAGTGCTCTGGGAGGCGTGCAGGTGCAGAGGCTAGGCGCGGGGGCAGGGACTGGAGGGAGACCGTCGCCCTCCAGGGAGGCCGTCGCCCTCCAGGGAGGCCGCTTGCTGCGCGCGGCCCCAGTGCCGTCCGCCCGGTCAGCCGGTCAGCCGCGCTGTCGGTGGCTGTCTGCCCGGGGCAGAGTCACACAGTCCCAGCCCTCCACAGGCCTCACTCCTCCCCACTCACTGCCGGCCACTTAAGAGCTGGGCCTTTGTGAAAACGGACAAAGCCTTCGTCTTACCGGTTATCATCAAAAACAGAGCCGAGGGTGCATTTACGTTTCCATTGTAGTAAAAAGTTTAATTTGAAAATCTCTGGAACGATAGGGGTCAGCTCGGAGAGGCTTCTCATGTAGCCTCACTGCAGTTCATTAGCGCCTCCTGTTTGCAGCCCGGGGCTCCACCATAACCACCAGTTCTCCGTAGACGGAGGCTGGAGCCCACTCGGGTGAGCGGGATGCCTTGACCGTCGGAGATGGCCGCTGTGCCGACTAGGGGGACGGTGCAGCTGAGACATCAGCACCCAGTAGAGCCTCACTTAATGGCTGCTAATGACACCTGCAGGGAGGCGTGGCGGGGGGTGGCCTGGAGGGGTCTGCGCACACCAGCTGGGTCGGGGTGGCCAGGCTCACGCCCTCGGTGGGCTCTTCCGGCAGCACATCAACAACGAGCACATCCACGGGGAGAAGAAGGAGTTCGTGTGCCGCTGGCAGGCCTGCACGCGGGAGCAGAAGCCCTTCAAGGCGCAGTACATGCTGGTGGTGCACATGCGCCGGCACACGGGCGAGAAGCCGCACAAGTGCACGGTGAGTGAGCGGCGCCGCCTGCCCCAGGTGCAGTGGGCGTGTGCAGGTGGCTGAGCGCAGGGCGGCTCTGGGACAGGCCATGCCCACAGGCCGCCCTGCCTGCTCCTGCCCGGGGCCTTCTGTCCATCTTGGTCCTTGAGGCTCCCCGCCTACCTGTCTTCCCAGAGCTTTGATTTGGTCTCTCTCAGGGTGTGTACCTGCAGTAGGGGTGTGCTGGTGTCTCTGGTTATGTCTGGGTGACCGCAAACCTCAGGGCACGGCTGTACCCCTACAGTTTCCGTGTTGGGGTGACCCCAGACAGAGGGGCTGGCTTGGCAGCCACCTGCAGTCCGTCCCCTGGCCAAAGAAAAGCTTCATTGGTGATTCACAGCTTGAGCAATGAGAGGTTTAAGCCTCTCTGGTTTTAAGTGAATACAAATGTCCCCTTACAGAGTGAACAGGAGCTGTGACCATAACTGGTGAGACATTGTTTTTAACACATTGTTTCTAACTCTTGAAGAGGGAGCTGGTCCAGCGAGGCCGTGAGTGGCTGTGCTGAGACCTCTGGCAGTTCCGCTCCGTGAACGTCTTACTTTTCATTGACACAGAGACACACGTTTTATACTCAGTGTAAGGCCTCTGAGATCAGGCCTTAAGATTGGCGGTGTCCAGGACTCAGTGACATAGCTTACCTTTGTTAGCAAGTTACATTTTTAATTGAAATAAAATTCACATACTATAAAGTTTACCATTTTAAAAAATGTACAGTTTCGATGATTTTTAGTATGTTCACAAGTTGTGCATTACTAGATAATTCCAGAACGTTTCATCACCCCAGATCAAAGGCCCATACCGGCTAGCAGCCACTTCCTGCCCTGCCCCCCATTCCCTGACAACCACTAACCTGCTTCCTATCCGAATGTGCCTGGTCCAGATCCCCGGTCAGGGCACACGCCCCGGTTGATAGAATGAAATCCAGTCCAGACAGTTCATAGGATGAAATCATGCAACGTGTAGGCTTTGTGTCTGGCTTTGTTCACTTGGCATGTTTCTAAGGTTCATCCATGTTGAGCATGTAGCAGTACTGTGTTTCTTTATACTATGGCTAAATGACATTCCCTCGTATGGATAGAGCCTGGTGTTTAATCCATTCATCGGGTGGTGGACGTTTTCGCTTTCTGGCTGTTAGGAATATGCTGCGATGAGCTTTAGTGGACAAGGTTTTGTGTGGACCGGTTCTCAGTTCTCTCAGGTCGCACTGCTGGGTCACATGGCGGCTCTTCTGTTTAACTCTCTGAGGACCCGCTGGGCTGATTTCCCAAAAGGCTGCACTGCCTCTTCCCACCGGCAGCGCACGGAGTTCTGGTTCTCTCTCCTTGGCGGCCGCCTGTCTCTGGGTCGCCCTCATCGCGGTGGGCGTGAGGTGCCATCCCATCAGGGTCCTGATTCACATGCCCCAGCGACGGATGATGTCGACTGGCTTTCCATGTGCTGATTGGCTGCTTAATGTATCTTTTTTGGAGAAATGTCTCTTCAAATATTTTTCCCATTTTTAAATTTTTTGTCTTTTTCTAGCTCAATTATAGTAGTTCTCTTAGACCATTATCAGATATGTGATTAGCAAATATTTTCTGCCATCCTGTGGGTTTTCTTTTCATTATCTTTTTAAAATATGTTTTTTATTGATTTTATTTTTAGAGAGAGAGGAAGGGAGAGATAGAAACATCAATGTGAGAGAGAAACATTGATCCGCTGCCTCCTGCACACCCCCTACTGGGGATCGAGCCCACAACCCAGGCATGTGCCCTGACCAGAAATCCAGCCGGGACCTCTCAGTCCATGGGACGGCACTCAGTCCACTGAGCCACACTGTCCAGGCTTCTTTTCATTTTCTTGATAGTTTCCTTTGAAGCACAAAGGTTTTAATTTTGACAAAGTCCAATTTTTTAATTGCTTATGCTTTTAGTGTCTTATCTAAGAAACCATTGCCTAATCCACGGTCACAAAGATTTACCTCTACGTTTTCTTGTTTGAGTTTTATAGTATACAAATTTATAGTTTGATTTGTGTAAATACATACATATATGTGTATGTATGTATACATATATATGGTGAGACAAAAGCAGGTTTACAGTTGTGAGTACACAAGAGTTTATTCTGGCATGATTATTTATTGATAATTGTACTACTTTTCACATGAACATCGGTAAGCCTGCCTCGCCCTGTCTATATTGTATAGGGTAATGCTTCCATTTAGGATTTTAATCCCTCTGAGTTCGTTTCTGTACATGGTGTGAGGTGAGGGTACAGCTTCGTTCTTCCTGTGGTCGTGCAGGTTTCCCATCCCATTTGTGGGGGACTTTCTTTCCCCTTGACCCATCTGGGCACCTTTGCCGAAATCAGTTGACCCTAAATAAATGGGCTTGTTTCTGAACTCTCACTTCTACTCCATTGATCTCTGTGTCCTTATGCCAATACCACACAGGCTTGATTATCGTCATTTTGTAGTCAGTTTTGGAAATGGTCCAAATTGGTGGTCCTTTTGTAGGATTATGTTGGCTCTCAGGGGTCCTGTGCAGGAAGTTATTTTCTCAACATCTTGAAGTGCAGCAAACCCTAGTCCTCTGATATGAGCCAGGAGCTGCAGAAACAGATAAAAGCCATTTGCAGAGCCCTGGCCAGTTTGGCTCAGCGGTTAGAGCTTCAGCCCGCGGACCAAAGGGTTGCGGGTTTGATTCTTGATTCTGGTCAAGGCCACGTACCTTGGTTGCAGTTCTGTCCCTGGCCCTGGTCAGGGTCGTGCGCGAGCCAACCAATCAATACGTCTCTCTTGCATCAATGTTTCTCTCTCTGTCCCTCTCCCTCCCTCCCTTCTTCCCACTCTGTCTGAAGATAAATGGAAAAGTATCTTCAGGTGAGGATAAAACGAAAAGCCATGTGGAACCATGGATGTTCAGCTCGGTCAGAAATGAAGGGAGTGTGTGGAGAAGGAGACAGTCCCCACTGGGGTTTGCATGTCGCTCTGAGTTCGACTTTCACTGGCTGCAAACGCAGGATATTTTCAGTACACACTGCTGGGCGCAGACCCTCCTGCGTGGTCCCCCCCCCCTCCCATTGCTCTCTGTTGCTCCCTCCCTTCTCCCTCCCCTCCTTCCCCAAAATGTTCCTTTTCATCTGGCACTAAATACTGGGAACACAGAAATGAAGACCTAAAAGGTATCTGCTCTCACGGAGCCTGTACCCTGGTGGGAAGGTCAGGAAACAGAATAATTAAGATCGTTATATATTGTGTTAGGGAGCGTTAAGGGGGGTAGTTATTTTGATGAAGAACATCAGAGAAATGCTCTTGGAGGAGATGACCTAGAGGACTGAGAGGGAGTGAGCCAGTCCAGGGCCCGGTGGGCGGGGCAGGGGGAGGGTCTAGTCAAAGGGGACTGTGTGCAAAGGCCCCAAGCCTAGAAGAATTCAGCGGGTCAAGGAACTGCGGAGCTCGGTGGTCAGAGCGGGGTGGGCGTGGCCTGCTCATTCAAGGCCACAGAGGACTCTGGATTTTATTCTCAGCACATGTTGATGGACAGAAAGTTCTAATTGGGGACGGGTACTGGGAATAGTTAAAAATAACATGATCTCACAATGCGCTGTTGATTTTAAAAAGTAGAAAACATAGCTAAATAATTGCTATGTTCCCGATTTTGGTTTCAAAAGGAATGTGTGGAGATGAATTGTGAAGTCGCCAGAATGAGACATAACTGCATGTCAGCGGGGGCTGTCCCCGAGCAGGCAATGCTTGGATTCCCTCTCTACTTCTCAGTCCTTTCCAAGTTTTCCAGAAATGCCGTGTGCCACTGTTCTAAGCAGAAAGGAAGGTCACCGTTACTGTCAAAGTGCACGCTCCTGGGGGCCCCGGCCCCTGGCTGGAGCAGACAGGCTGGGAAGGGGCTGTGTCCGGCCCAAGGTCAGGCTCCCGCGGTGGGTCTGGGGCGTCGGCACTGACCACCCCGCCTCTTCCCAGTTCGAGGGCTGTTCGAAGGCCTACTCCCGCCTGGAGAACCTGAAGACACACCTGCGGTCCCACACCGGGGAGAAGCCGTACGTGTGTGAACACGAGGGCTGCAACAAGGCCTTCTCCAACGCGTCCGACCGCGCCAAGCACCAGAACCGCACCCACTCCAACGAGGTACTGCCGGGCGCACCGGCCCCACTGGCTCGTGAGCAAATGCGTGGCCCCTTGGCTTCTAGACATCTGGGGGCCAGGTAGCCAGGTGCCCCTCCCCACCGCTGACCCACTGCCTGAGCTCAGCGCACAGCAGGGCCGCTGGCGAGGACATGCTCTGCCCGCTAGTGCTGCGGTCCCGCTCGATCTGTGAGCCCTGCTGATGGCACAGAACAGCCTTGTCGCCCGGGTAGCCAGAGCCCCGGCAGGGCCGAGAGTGCCCGGGGACGAAAGTCAGCAGGAGCCCATGGTGTCTGCTGTACTCACCTCCTGGTCCCTGCCCGGCTGATACAATACTGTCACCCAGGGAGACTCAGGAAAGAACATTTCTAAAAGCTTAGCCATATTTTGGACTCCAAAGGGACTTGCTACAATGCTCGTAAGAAGTTAGAGGCATTTCCAAAGGTATCTGAACCCCTCAGTTTCTACAGACAAGCTGGCCTTGAAGAGGGGTGTGTGCCTGTGTGTGTGTGTTAATGTGTGTATGTGTGTGGGTGTGGAGGTACATGTGTATGCATTATGTGTGAGGGAAGATGTGGGTGTGAATTAGTATGTACACATGTGGCTTGTGTGTGTTAATGGGTGTGCTTATGTATTTGCCATGTGTCTGCATGTAGATGTGTGTGCACTCATGTGCATGCATATATGTGTGTGCGTAGATGTATCTGGTGTGTGTCTGTATGTAGATGTGTGTACTCATGTACATGCATGTATGTGTGTGTCTGCATGCACTGGATATGTGTCTGCATGTAGACTTGTGTACTCGTGTACATGTGTTCATGTAAGTCTATGCACTGGATATGTGTCTGTATGCAAACTCATGTGTACTCGTGTACATGTGTTTATGCATGTATCTGTATGCACTGGATGTGTCTGCATGCGGACTCATGTGTACACATGTGAATGTGCATGCATGTATGTATGTATATGAGCTCAGAACTGAGGTTCAGAAACCCTGCGTTTCCATCCCATTCCTGGGTGACTTTGCCTCTCTGAACCCCTTTTCCTCATCAGAGAGTTTGGGGTTCTAGTGCTGTCTCATAGGTGTAACGAGATATAATACTCACTGTTGATATCAGAAATCCCAGCACCCTGATCACAGGGAGGGCAGCATTATGATCACACCGGCTCTGCGTCCCTCCACCTGCCTGTAGCCTCTGATCTATGTCCCCAGCTTGTGGTAGGGGCTCCCTTCACCCAGCGCTTACCTGCTGGAAAGGTGGCCGGACAGGCTGGCAGGGCAGGCTCCTCCCTCCAGAAGGCATGACTGCAAACAGGCGGGGCACCTGCCGACTGCGCGGCTTCGGGAGAACGGGCGCGCGCCCATTCCGAGTTGATCTCCGTGGGCCATCCACATGCCGCCCGCTTCCCTTCCAGAAACCCTACATCTGCAAGATCCCGGGCTGCACCAAGCGTTACACGGACCCCAGCTCCCTCCGGAAGCACGTGAAAACCGTCCACGGCCCGGATGCTCACGTCACCAAGAAGCAGCGCAACGACGTGCACCTGCGGGCCCCGGTGTTCAAGGAGAACGGGGACAACGAGGCCAGCACGGAGCCCGGCGGCCAGGGCTCTGAGGAGAGCGCCGAGGCCAGCAGCACCGGCCAGGCCACGGAGGACTGCCTGCATGTCAAAGCCATCAAGACCGAGGGCTCCGGGGTAAGCCGCGTGGGGCGCTGGAGGGCCGTCCCCCAGGAAGCCACGCCCAGCAGGCCAGGGCGACTCTGCAGCGCCGCCTGGGGTCCAGAGCCCCAACTGCAGCTGTGAGCCCTGCCCAGGCTCCCCTCTGGAAACAACATTGCCCCTCCTCTCTCCAGTCTGACTTTCCTCCCTTCACACCGTGGACTCTCCCAGCTCTCTGTGGCAGGTCCCATTCTGCGGGCAGGCTGTGGGCGCCGGAGTGCCTGTGCCCACGTGGCCAGTCTGTGCGGGGGCAGGGTGGTTCCTGGTGCTGCCTTTCTAATCAGCACCAGGGCCGCATCGGGTCCCCTCCCCTCTGTCCTGTCTGCGTCCTCGCCCCTCTGACCTCCACTCCTTTTGTTCTAACCACCTGTTCTTTGTCTCCACCTCTTTTCCCTGACTGTACCTCCCCTAAGGATAGCCGTTACTGAGGTGAGCAGAGAGCCGTGGGCATGGGCGGGCTGGCATGAGTGAGGGTGGCCAGGGCCTGTGCAGGACACAGGAAGGTGGGTGTGGGTAGGCACGGCAGGCACCACAGGTGGGACCATCGGACAGGCAGAGGCTGGCAGCAGGAGTCAGGCTGACAGGTGCAGGAGCAAGCGGTGGGGACCAAGGCCGCGTGAGGGGCAGGGCAGAGTGGCGGTGCGGGTTAGGACTGCAGAGGAAGGACTGACCTACCCAGTCGAGAGCCAAGGTGAGGAATGTGGGTGGTGCCATGGACTGGACGGAGCTTTGCAGCCTCCCAAAGAGAGGTCCAGATCTGGGAGCAGTCAGCCTAGAAATGAGCGCAGAGGTGCCACATCCAAGGTAAGCCTCACTGGGCTCAGATTCGGGGCTCTGGAGTTCTGCGCACGTGGGCATGAGCTCCCTCTGCCTCGACCCAGAGCCAGGGCTGTTTGATGGCCATTCAGACGAGGCCGCATCCAGCAGTCCCACCGCCTGTGTGTCCTTCCCCTTCCTAACGCCCAGCTCTGGCCTGTGGGGGAGGCGGGTGGTCGAGAAGGCCCAAGCACCTCTCATCAGCTTCACGTGGCAGCCCCAGAGCGCCGACCCAGCGCCAAGAATCACAGGGTGGGGTCGAGGGTTACTGGGTGACCTCTATATGCTGACGCTGTCCGTCCACCCACTAACCCTGCCCTGAGGCACTTCAGGTCCATCTGATAGGTGGGGAAGCCAAGGTTCAGAGAAGAGATTCTTTGGACGCTCCTCCACAAAGCAGCTTCCTCCTGCTCTTGGGTGTGCGAGGCAGCATCGTGGGAGTAGGCATGGGTTCGGCCGGTGGGTTCTCACACCTGACTCTGACCTCACCATGTCCTCTGCAGCTGTGTCAGTCCAGCCCCGGGGCCCAGTCTTCCTGCAGCAGTGAGCCCTCTCCCTTGGGCAGTGCCCCCAACAATGACAGCGGTGTGGACATGCCGGGGACAGGGCCTGGAAGCTTAGGAGACCTGACAGCTCTGGATGACACGCCCCCAGGGGCCGACACCTCAGCCCTGGCTGCTTCTGCTGGTGGCCTGCAGCTGCGCCAACACATGACCACCATGCACCGGTTAGAGCAGCTCAAGAAAGAGAAACTCAAATCACTTAAAGACCCCTGCTCGTGGGCCGGGCCCGCTCCACACACCCGGAACACCAAGCTGCCTCCCCTCCCAGGAAGTGGTGAGTGGAGTCCTGGTGTGTGGGCTGGGGAGGGACAGAGCCGGGGCCGCGTCCCCCAGATTCAGGTCCGTCAGGCACGTGGGTCCTCTCACTGGATGATCACAGTCGGGTGGATCTTACCAGCCCATTGCACAGATGAGGAAACAGGCTCAGAGAAGTGCAAGGGCCTCACTTAAATCAATGGCAGAGCTGAGACTTAGCCCAGGCCTGAGGGGCTGCAAAGCCCATACTATTTCAACTACACCATGCTGCACCCTGTAACCCCCTAAAAATACTCAGACGCTGCTCACACCATCCTCTTCCTCATAGTCACTCAATCATTTATCAGGCACCTGCTGTGGGCACCATGGTGAAGGCCCCAGGCAGGAGCGATAGAATCCAGTCCCTGTGTTTAGAAGGAGCACATACATAGAAGGCCATGCCACCAGATGCACAGTCACCCACAGAACGAGCCACACAACACCAAGGCAGAGCTGTGCACGAGGGAGAAAGCACATCAGCTAGGGGAGAGCACGGAGGACTTCATGTAGGAGGCAGCTCTGTGTTCAGCCTCAAGAGGTGGAAGGCAGTTTCACCGACATTTCTTGGGTGCTGCCCTCCAGGGACCGACAGCTTAGTGTGGACCATAGGCCTGGGTTATGAGACATGAGCACTGGGATGCACCATCCAGCTCTCTGCTGGAAGGAAGACTTGTTGACTCAGCTGTTGAGGGAACTGCTAGCAGACAGCCTTCAACTCTCAGCCTCCTAAAGAGATCGCTTGGGCTGCTGACAACTGCCTCACCCAAGGTCACCCCTTCCCAGGGTGGCCTCCGTCCAGTGACTGATCACTGCAAGTGTAGAGGCTGTTTGAGGCCCAGGGTGCCCGTGAAGTCAGCCACGGCCGCTGTTGGGCCGCTGTCACAGCTCATTTCTCCCTGCCGGCTTGCTGCCTGGCTCTCCCGGCCTCCTATAAGCAGGCTGCTCAGTAACCCAGTCCCGGGGAGCCCAAGTGGCAGTGCTCATCCACGGAGGGGAAGGGTGCGGGGAGGCTGTGGCCAGGGCCCTCTGAGCTCTTCTCAGTAACTCAGTCCTGTGGCGAGGACCTTGCACCACAGCTGGAACAGCAGAGCGCCAGATGTAGTGAGAATTCAGGCCAGCCAGGCCATGGAGAGCCAAGACTGGGATTGGCCTCCTGACTGCCGGCGGCCCTCAGCAATAGGGCCACCGCTTGCCGCTCACTGCTCCTTCCTCTTCCCATGCAGAGACCACTGGCTAAGTGCATCCCGTGTACAAGCCATGCCCTAGGGCTCCCGGGTGCAGACGCAGCCTGGTCACAGCAGGCAAAGCCCTGTGCTGACCCTTGTCTTTCCCACAGGCTCCATCCTGGAAAACTTCAGTGGCGGTGGGGGCGGCAGGCCGGTGGGGCTGCTGCCCAACCCGCGGCTGTCCGAGCTGTCGGCCAGCGAGGTGACCATGCTGAGCCACCTGCAGGAGCGCCGCGACAGCTCCACCAGCACGGTCAGCTCGGCCTACACCGTGAGCCGCCGCTCCTCTGGCATTTCTCCGTACTTCTCCAGCCGCCGCTCCAGCGAGGCCTCGCCCCTGGGCGCCGGCCGCCCGCACCACGCCAGCTCGGCGGACTCCTACGACCCCATCTCCACCGACGCGTCCCGTCGCTCCAGCGAGGCCAGCCAGTGCAGCGGCGTGGGCGCCGGGCCGCTCAGCCTGACGCCCGCACAGCAGTACAGCCTGCGCGCCAAGTACGCGGCGGCCACGGGTGGGCCGCCCCCCACGCCGCTGCCCGGCCTGGAGCGCGGGAGCCTGCGGGCTCGGCTGGCTCTGCTGGACGCCTCCGAGCGCCTGTGGGGGCCCCGGCGGGGGAGTGGTGGGCCGGCCTATGGCCACGCGGGGCCCGCACCCGCATTCCCCCATGAGGCACCTGGCAGCGGGGCGCGGCGGGCCAGTGACCCAGTGAGGCGTCCCGACGCCCTGGCTCCACCACTGGTACAACGCTTCCACAGCGCCCACGACGTGAACCCGGGCCCACTGCCACCCTGCGCGGCGGAGAGGCGCGGCCTCTGCCTACAGGGTCCCGCCAGCACTGATAGCCTAGCCCGGGGCACCTACTCGCCCCGACCACCCAGCATCAGTGAGAACGTGGCGATGGAGGCCATAGCAGCCGGGACAGAGGGCGCAGGGCCTGAGGGCAGCCTCGTGCTGCCCGAGGACGACCTCGTGCTGCCGGATGACGTGGTGCAGTACATCAAAGCGCACGCGCATGCCGGCGGGGCCCTGGGTGACAGCACCCTGCAGGCATACCCCCGGGAAAGCCCCTGCTGCTCTGAGCATCCCAAACTGCCCAGCCCGGGGCTGCATGGCCCGCGCAGGATGGCAGCTGCGGACTCCAACGTGGGCCCCTCTGCCCCTGTGCTGGGAGGCTGCCAGCTGAGCTACGGAGCCCCCTCTGGCCTGAACAAGAACAGCATGCCTGTACAGTGGAATGAGGTGAGCTCTGGCACCATGGATGCCCTGACCAGCCAGGTGAAGCCTCCACCCCTTCTGCAGGGCAACCTGGCCATGGTGCAGCAGAAGCCAGCCTTTGGCCAGTACCCGGGTTGTAGTCCACAAGGCCTGCAGCCGAGCCCTCGGGGTCTGGACAGTACCCAGCCACCCCTGCAGCCCTGCAGCGGAGCCCCCTCTGTGCCCAGGATAAATTACATGCAGCAGCTCCGGCAGGCAGGAACAGGTGGCCAGTGCCCCAGCATGACCACCACAGTGAGCCCCCACGCCGGCTACGGCCAAGCCCACCCCCAGCTGAGCTCCAGTACCATGAGCGGGGCCCTGAATCAGTTCCCCGCATCCTGCAGCAATCTGGTAGCCAAGCCAGGCCACCTGGGGCTCCCCCAGCAAATGGAAGTTGCTCCCGACCCCTCCATGATGGGTAGCAGCCGCAGGGAACTTGGGGCCCCCAATTCTACCCTGGCTGGTATGGCACCACCGCATGCAGCCCAGAGCTACCCACAGCAGAGCCATCACATGGCAACCTCCATGAGCCAGGAGGGCTACCACCAGGGCCCCAGCCTTCTGCCTTCCCACCAGCCTGGCTTCATGGAGCTCCAGCAGGGCACAGTGGGGCTGTCTGGATCAAGCTTTGGCCTAGTGCAACCCCGGCCACCTCCTGAGCCCAGCCCTGCAGGCCGCCACCGTGGGGTACGTGCTGGGCAGCAACTGGCCTATGCCAGGGCTGTTGGCCATGCCAGGGCCACTGTGTCAGCCAACCAGGAGATGGCAGAGTCTAGACCCAAGGGAGCGATGGGCACTCTGGTGTCCCTGCCTCCTCAGCTGCCCCCACAGGACACAGGCGGGGCCCAGGATCACAACATGCTCTGCTATTATGGCCAAATCCACATGTATGAACAGAATGGAGGCCTGGAGAACCAGCTAGGTTGCCAGATCATGAGGCCCCATCCACCGCAGCCACAGGCCTGCCCGGAGAGCATCCAGCCCTTGCCTTCACCAGGGGTCAGCCAGGTGTCCAGCACTGTGGACTCCCAGCTACTGGAGGCCCCCCAGATCGATTTCGATGCCATCATGGATGACGGCGATCACTCGAGCTTGCTCTCGGGGGCCCTGAGCCCCAGCCTCCTCCACAGTCTCTCCCAGAACTCCTCTCGCCTCACTACCCCCCGGAACTCCCTGACTCTGCCCTCCATCCCCACGGGCATCAGCAACATGGCCGTCGGGGACATGAGCTCCATGCTCACCAGCCTGGCCGAGGAGAGCAAGTTCCTGAACATGATGACCTAAGGCCCAGCCCTGGTGCGGAGTGGACCCCGAGGAACCATCCATTTCCAGAGCATGGGGCTCTCACCCATTCTGTCTTTTTCCAAAAAAGTGTTAATAGGTGTGGGGGTTGCTAGTGGCTGCTTCAGACCACAGATGCTTTAAGGGCAAGTTTGTATGCATCCCGTCTGGTCTTCTTTGGGGTTATTTTTCGGAACATTGAAAAAAGTCTCAACAGAAAAGACTCGTTTACACAGGGCTCCCCGCCTTCGGGGTCTGTAGGGCCTCTCTGTGCCAGCTCCTTCGCCCTGGCAGCGGCCGCCGGGGGTTCCACTGGCCAGGCCTTTCCAGGCGCACGAGGAAAAGGGCAGAAGCACCCGTTGGGGTGTGGGTCTGCAAGCCATACTGGATGTCCTAGTCCAGGAAGAGAAGCCTCTCGTTCCAGTACCTGCAGGGAAACGGAATCGCTGGGCCACGCTCCCTGCTGTGGAGCTCAGTCCGTGAGGCCTCCGCCCTCCTCACGGAGGGAACACGCATCTCCTGGATGATTCGGAAGCACATCCCGATTTCAGGTTTGGTAGAGCTGGCATCTCTACCTGCAGAGCCAAGTTTGCAACTGGCAGGCGGTCCAGGTGTGACTGAATGAATGAATGAAGTATGGAAATATCGCCAGAAAAAGGGAAGAACAAGTTGTAACCCTCAGGCTGCCCAGAAGCGGTCTGGGCCTCTCCAGACCCTGTTTACAGTGTTCGTGCACGTAAAGTGTAGCCCTCCCTGAACAAACACTTACTTCTAAATACCTCGGGGCTGCGGGAGCTGCTGTGGGTTAGGGATGGACGGAGGGGAGCCAGGCACGAGATGGGACCTTCAGAAAGGGAGAGGGCACGGAGCCCCCTCAGGCAGCCCTGGCGCTTTCCGATCAGAAGTCACATGTTTACCCAGTCCTGTTTCTCCAGTGCACTGTCCGCCACTGTGCCCCAGGCCATGCTGTCCACTCAGCAGCAGCCCAGTGGCCTATGCAAAGCCACAGCCTGCAGTCCCGACACCCTCTGGATTCCCTTCCTCTGCCCTCATTCCGAGAATGAGGACGTGCATGGTATTTGGTGGTCGGGAGGGTAGAGAAGTTGATTCCTGGGCTCCGAGGGACCGTCACTGAACTCTTCGTTCAGTGGACCAGGCCCCAACCCCAGATGGAATTTGAAACTGGCATCAGAAGACATTCCTGAACATACTGTAGGGTGAATGGGCGCGTCCTCCTAGCACACACATGTACCCCCCACGCCTTCCCATGTTGAATTTGTGGCAACCTTGCCAAAAGCAACGGCACCGCGATGAGCTTGATACTGACTGTGACCCTGGCTTCAGGCAGGATGGGGCCAGCAGCTTCCCTGGGCCCTCCGTATCCCAGAACATCAAGTGCTTTGTTAGGGTCCAAAGAAAGGCTAAGTCCAAATAACAGCCCTGGGGGAGGCCCGGGGGTCTGGGCTCCGTGGTGGTCATGAGCTAGGATTTCACTAGCCGTTCCCACCCTGTACATAGTCTGTACAGAAGACACCCTCCCCGAAAATACTGTAGGTGAGTCATCCAGCCAAATTTATATCTCCGAAACATTTTTAGCTTTTTCTACATGCTATGAATTGAGATGACATGCTCAACTTGTAAATAAGTCTTTTTGTACATTAAAAAAGTAATTTTTTCATAATTTATTTTGTCTGTCTGCTTCCTCTTTGACAGTGGTTCATGAGAACCTGGGCAGTAAATTTGGTGCATTTGAACAGAAATTAGGCAGTATTTTTTCTCAACAATGTCAAAATTGACTATCCCACATTCACCAAGAAATGTTGGATGCCGAGGCAGTCACTGGCTGTGTGTTGGGGGGCGGGGGGCGGGGTTTAGCGCTGTACAGTCAGCATCCGGCTGTTCCTCCAGGGAGCTGCTCTGAACATCTAAGGAGACCTGCTGAGGGCCATCCATACCAGATCCAGGGTGGCCCCAAGCACTCCTCATGTCACAGCCTCCTCTCGGGGGGCAGTCTGATGACACACTGGGGTTGGTGTGGGCGGAGGGAGAAGACAGGCAGCCCTCTGTTCTAGTATAGGAGACAGGAGAGAGGGCAGGAAGCTGGGGCCCAGGGTGCCCAGCAGCAGCCTGGGCAAAGGGGCCCGTGGGGAGCAGCCACCAGCAGGGGTCAGTCCTGGGAGGTGGCCCTGGCCGGTACCCGGGTAGCCGCTGGCACTGCAGTGGGGCCGGCGAGCAGGGCACGAGCTGGGATGAGTCCTGGAATGAACAGGACAGGGAAGAGGGCTGCCGGGACGGGGTGGGGGTGGCGGCACCCTCAGTGCTCCCTCCCCTCAGGAAACAGGCACCCACCGTGGACCATTCGGAGCAAGCCACATGGAGGGTGTTTAATCTCAAACCAGTTCTGTGGGATGTAACCAGGTGGACTGAAAAGGGTTCTCTGGTAAAAGGTAGGAAACACCCAAAGAAAATGGAACTTAGCAGAGGGTCCCCGAGTCTGCTGTGTGTCAGGGGAGCCCCCACTTCTCGGGAGTAATTTCCTGGTGGAAAGACTCCAGCCAGAGTTCCATTCCTGGCCTCGTCCCTCCTGTGGGGACTCCCCGGCCTCTTGCACCCTCGGGAGGGGGACCGAGCGTGCCTGGCTCGCCCGTCCTCTGCCCCTCGGAGCTCGGCCCCAGGCCGGCACTTCCGCTGCTTCGCCGCCCGCTAAGTCTCTGGAAGCAGCTCTCTGCTTTGGGGACAAAAGTTGTTCAGTGCTGCCTGAGTCGGATGAGCCACGGCATTAAGAAGCCCGCGGTGGCCATTCAAGCCAGCCACACCCCTTGTGTCCGTTCACTATGGCCACAGTCATGCTGCATAATGGTATCCACGAAGCCTCAGCTGCGGAACAAGAGGCGTTTATTTAGCTCATGAATCTGGGTCAGCTGAAGGCTGGCCGGCCAGGCTGCGGGGCTGGGCAGCCCCTCGGGCCGGCGGGGGCAGCTCATCTAGCTGGCTGGGCTGGGCAGCTGGGTCGGCTGCACGTGCCCCGTCTTCCCCCGGGACCAGGACGCTGGCGTGAGCGCTGCTTTCGGTGGTGACGGCAGGGACACGGAGCCAGCAGAGAAACACGGGTCCTCTTGAGGCCCCTGTTCAGAACCAACACACCATCAGTTTCCCCTCATTCTTTTTGGCCAAAGCGAGTCACATGGCCAAACCCATCATGGCTGAGACCAGGAAGTACACGCTGCGTGGGCGTGAGAGGCAAGGCTCTGTCCCTCCCCCTGCAGGATGTTCACCGAGACCCCCGAGTCCGTCAGCCATCAGTCTCAAAGTCTAGGGTCTGGTGTAGTCTGGCCACATTCTGGATATGGCTTTTCTTGACCCGGAGGTGCCCTGCCCCGCGCACAGCCAGCCTGCAGTGTGGGCCAGGGCCGCGTCCGGCCTCAGGCTCTGTTCACAGCCCCGGAGTCCTGCTGGCAGATGATGCCAGTGCCTCTCCTCTGGGCGAGATGTTCCCTGAGCGCCCCCGGGCCCACGTGCTCTGCCGATGTCACCACTGCAGGGGTCTCCTCCGTTACCTTTTCGACTTCTGAAGAGGGCACTGGAAAGCTTGTCTTGGGTGGTGGAGTAACTCTTCCTGCCTGAAGGGAGGTGGGCCCTTGAGGCCCTTCCCATTTCAAACAGCCTCGAACCCTGCACTCCATGCTCACAGTGCCTTTGCCCATTCAGCTCTCCAACTGCAGCCTTTCAACATGCGCAAGTCACTCTGGGCCCAAAGCCACACCCACAGTTCCCCTGGTGACATGCCGGTACCATCAGGCCCTGCAGGTCTCTAGGCGCCCTGCAGGTCTCTAGGCCCCCTGCAAGGAGAGGGGTCCCAGAGCCCCCCCGACTCCTTCAGGGCCCCAGGACAAAGGGCGTTCTAACCACGGGCACGGCCCTGACCCCGCCCTGCTGGGAGGCCGCGTTTCTCTGGCTCTGCCCGGGGTTGGGTCTTTGCACTCAGGCCAAGTCTCCATGTGAAGCTCTTTCAGTGGCTGGAGAGACGGGACGAGAAATACTGGCGTTTCCTAGGCTCTGCCTGTGCGCGGGGTCCCTTTCTGCGCCCGCCTGTCACTGGCCGCACCCGCCGTTTATTTACAGCTGGGGGAGCTCGCACCCGCAGCCGGTCCTGGAAGCCAGCCCGCCACCTCCACAAGTTCACAGGTTCTTCCTCCTCCCAAATCACAGGCCACAGCGGTGCCGAATCTTCCTTCACCAGAAAACACAGCTCACCTTTGTTCCCGTCATTTTAACCTTCCCAAATCCCCTCACTGCCCATTCCAAAGCCATGCTACGTGTGTTAGGGCTTCGTTATGACCGCCTCCCATGCCAGGTCCCATTTTCTTAATAAGTTAGCTACAGTCCAATAATGCCATCTAAGGAAATCATCTGCAGCCACTGACGTGCGTTTAGCTCAGGAATCTACGGGGCTGCTGAGGGGACGGTGCCAGGCTCGGGCCTCCTCCTGGGGGACCAGAGCAGGGTGTGGACATCTCAGTGATGGCACAAAAACAAGAGGGCAAGGCAAACACAGGAAGCCTCTCAAGGCCCAGGCTTGGAACAGAAAGCCAGTCACATAATTGAGCCCCAGATCGATGGAGGAGAGAAGCATCGTCCTCTAGGAGCAGAGGAGACGGATGTCCGAACAGTAATCCAGTGCAGCACAGCTTCCCACCCAGCTTTGCTAAGACCCGCACTGCAGCCTCCACCTGTCCCCTGCTTCTGTATCTCGGTTCTAAACTCAAGAGGGGAAGACAGCGGGGTCACTGACTGGTACCCTGTCACTGGTGATGTGCCAAAGCCAGAGCCGGCTTTTGTTAGGTGTATCTCTTCCCAAACTTCGTGTTTAGAGACTTCACTTTGACAACCTGATATGGGCCACATTGGAAGAATTTACACCACAGGAATCAGCAGACACTACAAATCAGGGTGTCTCCTTCTTCTCGGGAAGAGAGCCTGTTAATCTTTTGCTCGTGTGCCTA